CGACTGATTCCGAAGAGCGCTCTCCTATACCTTCCGTATAGCTCCATCCCATCCTTGTCGCCGCTCTCGCACAACCGCCTGTTAGGAGGGGTCGTATAGCAGCACGGTGTAAGAGTCTAATATACAATAGTTCCAAAACAATGTTCTCGATCTCGTCCTTCCAAATCCACATAGTTAGTTTTGGGGGGAACTAAAGAACGAGTAGTAAAAAGAGTGGTTCATGTCTAGTAAACACATGGTGTTGTACAAAATGCAAGCAGGCCAATTATTCTTAATTGGATTGGATGTGATACAAAGATAAATTCCCATTCTACTTGTATTGATTTGCAGAAAAGTTGAAGAGGGAGAACCAAATTGATGTGTTGATTCAAATTCAAGGAAATTTTATCAAGTTAATTACATGTTCAGATAAACTGCATAACTGTGAAGCATGGAATTGAATACATGTTGATAAAGAAATAATTTGGTTTATGGTTGTATGGCTGTATGTATCCCATGTATTATCCACCCCCTTACTGCAACAACATGCTTTCGGGCTTGTTGAGAACAGACCCAACTGAAAATAAAACAGCCTTTAATTCTACCTTCACATATTTACAATGGACATAACTTAAAACAGTGTCCTCGAAAGTGAGTCAGTCAGCTTAACACAAATTTGTTAAATGTCAAATAGAACACACACACGCACGTACACACACACAAGGTATATACTATATATTACATATTTATATCAGATCACAGTATAGTGTTCTTGGTTGGGAGAATAAGAGTAAGGATTTTCAGTTCATGTTTGGTTGCAAGAATTTTTTTTCTTGATTAGTATTAACACACAAAAAAAGTCATCATGGAAGACTAATTCTTAACTTGCATAGTGTCAATACACCAACAGTATTATCTCACAAACTGGATATAAAAGCAGAAAATTTTGAATAACTTCAAGAGAAAATAGTTGACCAAGGACAGGCAGTAGAAAATGTCATCATACTACTTTTCAATTTCTTTGCCACAGGAGGATTAAGCTAGCACTCTCATACAATAGGTTACTTAATGAATTTCATTTCTTTTTCAACTACTTAGATTGTTGTTTTACAACAAGAAAATTAGCAATATATTTTCTATAAACTTATCTAGATCTCCAAAATCACTTTGAAAAAAGAAATTGGTACAAACTTCACAACAATAAGTTTTTGTAAGAAATTTGTACAAGAAGAAACACCCTGATTCTTGGGAATTTTTAATGCCATAGGCTAAATTACATGGGCTAAAACAAACTTGCCTTCTTGAATTCATACTCATACATAACAACTTAATAAATAGATTGCATGTAATTAGCTACCCAATGTGATGGAAATGAAAGCGAGAAGATAATCCTTTTACAACAGACTTCTTAAGTAACCTAACTTGTTACATGACAAATCACCTAATTCTGATTTTTTCTGCGTTTTTTAAAAAAAAATTAATTTGATTTTATTCTAATCTATGTACAAAACGGTACCTGGCTTATAAGATGTAAAACTACAAACGCAAACCCCTGTTTGAGATGAAAAAACTAGACATTAAAATATTGAGTTCAGCATGTGATATAAACCCCTATAATTTAACCCAGGGTGATCTAGTTGTGACCACACTCAGTGTGATAAAATGATTTTAAGCACATATTGACCAAACAAGCCAAACATAAATAAATATTGTTGGCTCAAATGTGATGTTTAAGGAGGAAAAGCAAAACAACAATGAAAAGGGAGTTCCTTAAAATTGCTTACATCTTGGCACATAACTGACTCCAGATATGAATAAATAAGTTGATAGCTTTGTCATACCTCTAAGAAATCCTTAAGTAATGTTGTTCGTCTCTTCTCAGCTATATCCATTTGATTTTCAAGATCACCTCTATCTGTAGTTTCAGCTCGTTCTACTTTCCAAGATAAGTTTTCTATCTCAGCTTCCAATTGAGCTTGCTGATATTCAAACTAAAAAAAGGAATTTAGCATTATATGAGACAGTTCGGTCAATTATTAAGTAATACAATAAAAAAAAGAATGTGAAGCTCACCAATTCCTTTCGTGAACTAGGTTCCATGTAGTAAGCATATGGATAAGTGTATTGTAAAGAATAACGACATTTTGCTAGGAGCATTGCAGCATCCAAGAGGTACTGCCAATCAATCCAAGTTCCTGACGCATTCATAACTTTCTGATTGATCCTGGTTTTGATAGTGAGAAGTGTTTGTTCCTCTAGTTTCAAGCTTTTAGAATGGTTTTCCCACTGAAACAATAATAGAAATATAACATGTGCAGGTAAAAAAATAATTTGATTTTCAACAACAAATAAAATATTTAACACATTACTTACTCTTTCGTAATAATGAAGATACTTTTTAAGAGCTTCTCTTGCTTGAGCATGAACACTTTCATGAGCAATATTTGGATTTTCTTTGTAGCGCGAACATTCATAATACTCTGAGCCGTGAGCCTTCCAGTCACCCAAACACATCCAACAAAATTCATGTTTGCAACTGTAGCACTGCATATGGTTACAGCCACCATTCTTTTCAATACATATGTGACAGCGGGGGCACTTTAAATATAAGGATAAATGGTTAGATTGATAAAACTATGATCTGAAAAAGGACGTAAACATCAAGGTGACTTACATCTTTGGTGTGAGCGCTGATGTAGTTGGCAGTTTCACTATCATCTGCACATTTGGTGAGCCATTTTTTTATTGTGGAACAGTCCGTAGGTGCATGGTAATTCATCCCACACTTAAAACTGTGTGAACAATATAAATAATTTTGCATAACAAAAGACAAAAGCTGGACTTACAAAAAGAAGACTAGAATTCAAGGATACATACCAAAAAGATGTTTTGCAGTTTGTGCAAACTGCCCGTTTTGCTCTTGGTTCCTTGGCATGGATTAGCACTTGACAGTTTGGACCAGGACAAAAACGTAACTGGGGATGGGATTTTACATAGTCGTGGAAAACAAACTGTTGATACTTGTCCCTCAGATTTGGTTTATTTAGGAGAGTTAAAACAAAATCTTCTGGTGCCAAAATATCACATTGCTGTGCCATACAACTCATTCCTGAAAATTTCAATAAAAAAGTAGCAATAATATTAATAAACTACTGTAAGAAGGATTGAAAACTTTACACATACTTTGAATATAATTGTATGGATTTAAGCGCAGACTTACCAGTAGAAATTCCTTGAATAATCTGAACTTCAAAGTGCATTGTCCAGCAGTCTTTACAAAATTTGTGACCACAAGCTAAACTACTGAAAATTTCGACATTACATAGCATCACACAAACTGGACAAGGCTTCTGGTTTTCATCTTCTTCCAAGCTATCTTTAGATGAGAGTGAACTTTGTGAACTATGAGAACTGGAACCATCAGAGTTAGATGGTGGATGTGGTGGTTTAATGCGAGACTGCACCAATAACAGGGAGGCATCAGATCGATACTTGGATATTAAATCTTGTACAGCCCATCCATGAGTGTGGAGTAAGACTTTAGCAAGTGACGGAGTAATCTGAAACAATCAAGTCATTAGTAACAAATAAATCCACAAAAGAAAAACTGGTATTGATGAACTGAATGCAGTGCACACCTGTAAACTACTACTCAGTAGTTCCACATTTTCATTCAATAAACGTTCTACTTCTTCAACTGACAGACACTCAAATATAAAGAACTCCGGATCGATTTTACTTGGATCAATTTGGTCGATGTCACAGTCATTTCCAGTGTTGTAATAATCCGCATAGCAACAATCATTATCAGAATATTCCATATCTGAATCACATTCTTCACTGGACATCTGTAAACAATAACAAAGAAAAATTTACAAAAATTTAATTAAACTAAAATACATTTGTATGAGCAAAACTATGACTAGAGTATGGATGGGTAATTCAAAAATCAAATTGACACATCAACAAAAATTCAGCAGTACATTACAACTTTTAATATGAAATGGAAAAAAAAAGGAAAAAAAGAGAAAGGAGTAGAATAAGAAGAGATAAGAACAGACCAGGCAAGAACAATTTTTTATTTGAAATCTACTCCAAAAAGAATCTAGATGCAAAATCTTGAATGAGACAGAATTAAATGTGAAATATTTAATTAAGAAAATCGTTTTCGATATAAAGAAGAAATGGACACACAGGGCGAAAAATCTCAGTGGTACGTTCTGAGGTACTAAAGATGAGAAACACACCTTGGAGCCTCAAGAAGAACACTTAAATAAAAAGGCAATCACAGACAGAACGTGGAAGATGCGACAAAGTTATCAAAACACTTGTAACAAAGTGGAAAATCAAATATTATCGTACGATGACTCAATGGCAAACTTCTCCAACGCCATATTGAATGAAACCAGAAAGTCAAAACAAGACAAGTGACCATCGTGAATAGTGCGAATAAATGTGGCAGACATGTCACTTTACAAGTACATCCGAGCCTCAGAACACCCAGCCGAGAACCACAATTAGTTCATTTAAACCTCGTACACTTATTGAGACCGATGATCTCTGTTTCGAAACATATCAAAATATGTTGGCGATGAGAACTATAAGGAAAAAAACTTCTGCATCGTTATTCACAGTTCAGACGTTCTTTTGTTTTTTGTTTTGTATATGTGAATCATCTTCTGCTTCTGCTAAAACGTAAACGCAAGTGAATTATCAACAATTTTGATAACACACAACACACATCATTAGGTTGCACCGTTTTCTCCTATCAACCCATTAGTTCTTCTGTAATTTTGCTCTTGACCCTTGTCTGTCATCTAGAACACAATTCTTGTCAAAACGGTGGTGATAGCTTCATCCTTTGGAATTTTTCATGTACCCTCTTGGTGCCTCCCTTTGTTTCAAGAGGTTAAACTTTACTCTAATACATCTATATCATCTTCTTCCATTTGTAAATAAACAAACACTTTTGTTTCGTGTAATCCCACCCACTATACAGACTGTTAACTGTCAGACAGAACTTGAAAAGGCTCCCTTCCGTTAATTCTGCAAGGTAAACACCTACCATTCACACTGTAGGAAATCTAAGTATTTTTAAAATATTTCTCTGTTACTACTATTGAATTTCCTTCCAGATGGCTGCAACTAGTGAACCTCACCTTATCACAGCTGAAACCCGTACTCAAGCTTCTCCATATTTCATTGAATGGACAGTGCACAACTTTTTGTATCCCATTACCAACCCTGTAGATTCTCCTATTTTTAGTCTTGGTGATGGTGTTGACTGTAGGTTTCATTTGAAATTCCAAAATTTTAGTAATCAAGAAGTTGTTAGCACATCAGTCACTGTTCATTACCGATGTCCTGGGAAGGTAATTACTTGGGTTCACTTGCATGAAGTTTTCCTAATTCTTCTTTCTTATCTACTTAAATTGTTTTTATTTCCAGATCTGTTACATTGATAGAAAGGGGTTTCGTAACTCACAACAACAAATTAAAGAAAACTGGTCTTCTCAACCACCATTGAGGATGGAGAATGATTCAACTGTTCAATTTGGAACTAACTTGCACTTATCAGAAATATCAAAGAAAAAGGCAGAAAGTATACCAGATAATTCTCTCACTTTTTTCTGCTATATTACTGTGGTTGAAGAAATGATAGCTGCCATTGACAAAAGTGTTCTCCTTCACAACATGGCAACTGATTTTGAAAAAGAACTATATAACAGTAAAAGTAGTGATGTTACTCTAGAGGTAGGTATTGAGAAGAGAGCATTTGATTTTTGTTAATGTAGCTGCATTGCTTTTGAATGATTTTAAATAATGTGTTCTCTCATAAAGAATTCTGTATCATTACTTTTTTTTAGGTGGAAGATGAAACCATACCAGCCCACAAGGCTGTTTTGGCTGCCAGAAGTCCTGTATTTGCTGCCATGTTTGACAGTGGCATGTCTGAGCAACTCAGTGGCCATGTTAGAATTTCAGATATTAAGAAGGAAGCTGTGAAAGAACTACTTCGCTTCCTATATTGCTGTAGAGTGGATCGTTTACAAGATGTGGCTTATGACTTGCTCCCTGCTGCTGATAAGTACTGCCTCCCTGACTTAAAAGATATGTGTGAAAGAACAATGGTAAATCAAATTAAAGTTGAAAATGTGTTTATGTATCTTGAGTTGGCAAACAATCACCAGTGTGATGAGTTACGCAAAGCTTCAATTCGTTATATAAAAGCTAATCCAAAAGAGGTAATGTCTTGTGGTGCAGATGTATTTAGGACACATGCCTATCTGCTAGCTGAGGTGTTTGAAGAGCTAGTCGGTGTCAGTAGCTAAATTGTAAGGCTAGTCTAGAGTTCTTCTTCTACAGTTTGCCGAACAAAATAAAAACTGTCAATGTTGTTTTGCCATAAGGTTCTATTGCCTGGCCTCATTGCCATTCTTGCCCCTACATACACACACAATGTAATGTGATTTGCCTTCACTAGAGCTTTCTGATGTATGTAGGTTCAAGTCAAAACATCTTCTAGATTGGGATGTAGCTAAGTCACTTAATCAGGCAATAAGAGATCATGACTGGAATTGCTGTTTGAGCTTTTATCTTTATGAATAAAATGTTGTCATATCCTTTGCATTTCTTGTGAGATGGAATAAGCAGATTATAATGCATTCTCTTATTGAGAATCCAAATGTAAAATATTTATCAGTTAAAAAAATCAGTTGGGCGCTTTATGTGTGATTTTTTGGAACCAACAATTATCCTAGAGTGAGTGAGCTCATGGTTTAACTACAATTCGTTGTAGAACTACAGTAGCTCTTCGTTTTGTCTCTTCAAAAAGTAGGATAGTATGCTATGTCTGCTTCTATCCTGTAAATTTGACTACATCCTGTATTCTGTAAATTACATGTTGTGATGGTGTGAGGCTTTTTAGAGGGGGTTTGTCCTGACCAAGGTTAGAAAGTAAGGACTGCCAACTCTACAAAGTCTCATGTTTGTTTTGTCTAAAGTTTATTGAAAACTGTTCACAAATTTGGTTCATATATCTTACAGGTTTTCCTTCTCTGTTATTCAATTTATGTTACCACTTAATGAAGGATAGGTATGTCATGCCAACATTAAATAAGAGTTATATATTTTAATAACAAGTTATATTTAATTACAAAAAGTTACCACTTCTAGAACAATGTGAAATAAAAAAGTGTTTGAATCCAAGTTTTGCTTGTAACATTGAAAGTCAATAATGTTTAGTAAATCAACAAATGAATAAAATTGTAATTACACATCAAAGCGCAGGTTGGGAATTTAAAAAATTCTATTCTCTATAAATGAGTTATAAACTTAGTTTACTACAATATGAAACAGACGAGCACAAGAATATGGCTGTCCCCACTTTCTCTCTCATACTCATACCTCCTCTCTCATACAAAATTAAATTGAAAAAAGCTGTTACAATAATAAATTATTCTAAATTTACATTAAGTATGCTCACACTTATCTTATTAATACTAATACAGTAAAAACACTACCATATTAACAACCACAGTATAACAAGGAGGTGCAGTGCAATTGAGTACATACTAAATGGTAATGAATGGTGCTGATTTCAGTGATTTTGGTAAGGTACAATCAACCCTAAGTTTTCAAAGATATTATCAATAATCAGATTCTTAGTTTAGTCTAAGTAGACAGCAGTTTAGTATTTTTTAGGAACTTAAATCAAAGTGACTGAGCTAGCATGTATCATGAAGTAAATCACAGAATTGAACACATGAAGCACAGGATAATGTGAGACACAACTCACCTCAACTTAAATACAAAACTGACCTATACTCCTTAGAAATGAGCAGTAACTCACAAACACCATTTTCTGCCAAAATACTGGCATTAGAATAGACTTTAACACACGCTACGATGCACCACACTTTCTTGTACCACTGAGATTACCCTAAGTTCTGAAACCAGATGAAGTTGTATCACAATCATAGACTAGTTAAGACAGAAAAAAAAAGTACCCACATTTTGATGTGGGGAAGATGTGGTAAATATCAACACTCGTCTCTAGAAAAATAACACTTTGGTTCTGAAGAGAGATACGAACGAAATGAGTTTCCAATGAGAGGGTTTTATGAAAAATACCTAGCAAAAGCAAACATTTAGATCATTGCATCATAATAAATGGAAACTTTTTTTTTTTTTCATTTTGAAAAAATTAACATATGCATTTTCTTTCTAATACAATTTGGTTGAGTTAAAAAATGTTCATTTTCAAAATAGTGTGGCAGGTATTTCCATAGATCAGGTAAAAATCTTTTATAATTCAACATCTGATTGTTTTGCCTGGTTTTGCCCCTAAAATCAAGCAACAAATGTCAAGAGACTATAGATGTCTGTCAATAATAAACTTTAAAGCTCAACAATCAATAAACTATTTTTTAAGTAGAAACAAGATATTACCAGGACCCAGCCTAAAAATGTAATTTTTTAACATTCTGTTTCACACATCTCACATGAGCCTTCACCTAAACCAGACACATCTACAAAATCTGGCATCTGGCAAGGATCCTGTGAGTTGACATACTGCTCAACTCTTTTTAGTTTAGTCTTTGTTAGCTTTGGCTGATATGTCTGATAAATCATCTCAGTGTGATCATGCTGTTGAAAGTGTATGTTCCCAAGCGTGTGTGACCTTGCTCAGTCAGGCAGCCGCCGGTAAGCGTCAGGTCGTGCTTGATGGTTGGTGCGGTCTGTAGTAGCATGACCATGGCGTATCCCTCCCCACAAAAATGGAAGAGCAGCAGACAAGAGAAGACCTCCAGCTAGGTAAGGTCTGTACCAAAGCCAAGAAACTGCAACAGCAGCTAAGCAGCTTGTACTGGACATAGTCATGCTAATAGAACCAGATCCCCCAGCAAGAAGATCACGAGCAAGTGAATTGCGTTGTACTGAAACAAATGGAAAAAATCTCAATACTGTCTCTACATAATTATGAGGTTTTTGAAAGAATAAGGAATTTATGATACGACTGCAAGGAAAATTTCAAACATAAAGAGCAAATTGAACAGGGGACATTCTTAACATATATAACTCACCAAGAGCATTTAAAAGTCCGTAGAGACACGTACAACCAAGAAAACAAATAAACCAACCAGCCCCTCTGAGTGCCCATGTTAGCCAACGGTTATTAACATGCTCCAGCCAAAATATTTCCTCAGCAGTTAAGAGGCCTTGACGAACAATGTTTATATCCACTCCTGGGGCCATTGGGTAAGCTCGTATTTCATTACCCACTTGCATTCCAACAACAGTCACCTAAAAATGACACAAATCAATTATTTAGGGATTTAAAATAAAAATCTAACAAAATAAAATTACAGAGTGAATTTTAGCAGGCTAATTTTGTTGTTTCAAAGACTAAACTTGGCAAAATTTTTGTTTTAAAAAGTATCTTACTGGAAAACCAGCATGTCCTGCATATGAAAATTGGACACGGATATCCCCAACTTCTGGTTCCCAGACATCACGGCAGTGGTAATAAAGACCAGCATGTAATTTTATATCACGTTGTTCTGGTCTTTCATCACTAGTAATTGGAACAAAGTCATTGAACTTGGCTTTTAGTTCTGGACCTAGGTTGAAGCCCCCTACTGTCACGACGTCATTCACATACACAGTACTCTTGAGCGGAAATTCTCTGAAAAGTTAAGTCTATAGGTCAAATAAGTATCACAAAACATATTCCTGATGTTCAACAATGTTTTGTTTAATT